CATCCCGTCCCCCCAGCAACAATTCACAGTTTTCTGGAGCCAGTAATAAAGGTGGAGGGCCTTAGACAGACGGAGGGATTCACCAATGTCGCATTACGGAAGTTTAGCTAAAAAGTGGTCTTGGAAAAACAGATCGAATGCCTTATAGAAATCCAGGTAGACAACATCAATTTCTACACGAAAATCCACTGCATCGATCCAACTGTCGCATACCAATATAGTACTGGTAGTGCATGATCGATTCCGAAGGAAAACACGTTGCTCTCGGGTACTGAACCATCATCAACATCCTCATAATCATCATCATCCTCATTATCATCATCATCATCATCATCATCATCATCATCATCATCATCATCATCATCATCATCATCATCATCATCATCATCATCATCATCATCATCCTCATCATCATCATCATCATCATCATCATCATCATCATCATCATCATCGTCATCATCATCATCAGCATTATCATCATCATCATCATCATCATCATCATCATCATCATCATCATCATCATCATCGTCGTCGTCATCATCATCATCGTCGTCGTCATCATCATCATCGTCATCATCGTCGTCGTCATCATCATCATCATCATCATCGTCGTCGTCATCATCATCATCATCATCACCATCATCATCATCATCATTATCATCATCACGGCGGGCAGTTGGGATTCTAAAGCTGTGCATGCAGATCAGTTTTTTCATTTTGTTGTATCATATAACTTTTTGGCTTTGGTTGTTTACTTCGTTATTTTTTTTGATTCTAGGTTATCTAGTTATACACTTCGAACTTTTTCGACAGTTATTGTCTCGTTCTACCGTGGCTTGGTTCTCGTCCCTCCTAGTCTTTTGTACTGGTGTCTAACTCAGGCCAGATTTTCTCATTCTTTTCATTGTTTTGGCCGTTTTGTGCTCCATTTGGTCTAAGTCACTCAAATCTTTATTTGTCGTTCGTAAATCCTAACTACCTTTACTGGTTTATCATTACGTCTGTGCTTATACATTATGCTGGTTTACTCCTATCGGTCGGTACGTTTATTTTAAATGGCAAAGCAGTCGCCTTGTGGCATTTGCTCTAAAGTAGTTGGACATCGCGCAAATGCGGTTGCATGCAGTTTAGGCGGCGTAAAGTTTCATGTTTCGTGCATTGGTCTATCTGTGAACCAATTTCGAGTAACTCACGGGATGCAGCACGATTTTTCTAGGATCATTTGTAAATGATGCCAGTCTAAACTTGGGCAGAATGGAGCCGAAAGGTCTGACAAGCGGATCAGTAAAGCGAAGTGCTCTAAACCGCCCAGCTCGACTTGTACCACACCACAGTCAGAGACACAGCCAGCGCTTAGTACAACATCGCATCCATCCTTGACGCAAAGTACTAGCGTTCAGGCAGACTCGCCCTCAAGACCTACGATTTGTTCGGTTGACGGTAAAGCTCCAATTTGCAATAAGCAAATCGGTGATAACGATTGGAAATTGTAAACACCAAAGAAACCAAGAACAATGTCTAGCGACCTGAGTCGCCGCAACCTCTTGGTCTTTAACGCACCTGAATCATGTGATCCTTATCCTCAGGTGCGCTATGAACATGATTTCGCGTTTTCGCAACTTATGACTGACAGAGTGCTCGACGTGGATGAGGGCGGGCTTAAAGTGAAACAGATTGCTCGTCTAGGAAAGAGAACCGAGGGCAAAAGTTGACCTATGAGGGTGACTTTTGTCGAAGAGGCAAGTCATATGTTATTATTGTCCCATCTTCATAGGCTGAAATGTCTGAAGATCCACATGCGCGCTGACTTAGATCTATCAGACAGAGAGAAACTCAAAGCTGCGATGATTGAACTAAAACGACGCACGGACGATGGAGAAACAAATCTCCGTACTGTAAATTTTCGGATAGTTACCCGGATTCCTCCTCGAATCCGGATCAACAGGTTTCTGATACTTCAGGCGCGCCCAGCGGTTCTTCCCGCGGCCTGCGCGCAGCCTTTACTAACGTATGCAGTTTGATGAACAAGCGCGATGTGCTGTACTACTTTTTAAGCTCTCAGCGACCAGATGTATTAGGCCTTGCTGAGACATGGTTAAACTCCGAGGTAACCGCCCAAGAAGTGGAAATCAGCGGCCACTCATGCTTCCGCTGTGATAGGCCATAGAATGATCGCGATGGCGTTCTACTTTACATAAAGTCTTCCTTGTGTGGGAGACTAATGAGCGCCTACCAAAGCGCTGATGGTCTATGTGAGCAGTTATGGCGTTCGATTCACCTCAGACGTTGCGAGATGCTCGTGGGCATGGTATATCGCACTCCACTGAGCCGCTGTTTGGACTGGTTGCCGCAGGTCCGCAACCACATGAGTCGTCAGATATTCCTACTCATGGGCGATTTCAACTTGCCCCGAGTACAGTGGCCTGAAGCTGAACTTCTCCCCGGCCAATGTGAAGTCGAGAGGAAGTTTACGGAGTAGCTATTTGAAACCGGGGCCACACAGCATATCAACCAATCAACGCACATTACTGCGCGCGCGACTCCATCGTGCTTAGACCTGCTTTTGACTAGCTGTGAGCAACGTGTGCATGACATTCAAGTCTTAGAGCCTCTGGGAGCGAGTGACCACTCGATGATCATAGCCAGCTTGGAACTACCGCTGCCGTATTCTCCCCCGCTGGAGCCAGCCTTCAACTATTGGAAGGCGGACTTTAATGGCCTCATTCGAGCAGCGAGCCAGACGGACTGGTCTTTACCACAGCATTCGTCTATTGAGACCTATTGGGCAATCATTAAAGAGGGCGTGAAATCGTTGTGCGCCCGATATGTATCCCTCAAAATTCGGAAAGCTGGGCCAGTCAAACAACGTTGGTTAGACAAAGAGTACAGCAAACTGGCCCGACGACGACGACGCAGATTAGGGAACAAATGCGTGTTATCTGGCTCTGATGAGGACTACAAGGCGTACCAGTTACAGCGAAATCGCTGCAACAACGCGAAAACAAGAAAACATAGAAGTTTCGAAGAGGAGTTTGCAAACTTAGCAAAATCTCCTCCTAAGATAATCTTCGCATACGTGAAGCGGAGCCTGGTGCCTGCAGCCAATGTCCCAGTGTTAGAAGGCTCAGATAGACAGCCCCTAACCTCGAGTACAAATCGTGCGTCCGCATTGGCGGCGCATTTCGCCTCCGTACTTGAAAGTGACCAGGTGTCTGTAACGAGCTCGAGGAGTACCGTTCCAGCCGAACTTAACAGCACGGACTGCAATATTGATGATGTGCGTAACCTTCTAGCAAATGTTGTCGGGACAAAACCTGCTGGGCCAGATGGTATACACCCACTGATCCTCAAGTCCCTCTCAGCCGTCATCGCGCCTTCTGTAACTGAACTGCTTAACAGGTCACTATCTACTGCACTGTTACCAGACGACTGGAAATGCTCAGTCGTAAAGCCTATCCCGAAAGGTGGTAACCCAAGCAAAGTGGATAACTACCGGTCGATCTGCCTGACCGCTGTTTTGGCAAAAACGCTGGAGAAGATCGTGAAGAAGAACTTTCTGTAGCTTCTCGAGTCGAAAAACCTGTTGACCTCCGCACAGCATGGTTTCATGAAAGGTCACTCGTGCATCACCAACCTACTGTTGACAAGGCAAGAGTGGTTACAAGCGATGAACCAAGGCCATTCGATCGATGTCATTTACATTGACTTCAGTAAGGCTTTTGACAAGGTTAAACATGCAGTGCTCCTTGACAGGCTGAGGATGTGCGGTGTTGGTGGTTCGCTACACAAATGGATCAGAAATTTTCTTGTGGATCGGAAGTGGAGAGTCCAGTGGACAGCCATCTTACTAACTGGTATCCATCGTACAGCGGCGTGCCCCAAGGCACTGCACTGGGGCCGATATTGTTTCTGATCCATGTAAACGATGTGTCTCAGCTACTCCAATCACCTTGTGCTTTGTTCGCAGATGACTTGAAGGTGTGGAGAGTAAACCGCACACTCAATGATTGTGATTTACTTCAGCAGGATCTCGACAGCCTCTCGACATGGTCTACAGAGGTTAACCTTCCGATCAACCCTGCCAAGTCGCAATTCATGAGGTTGGGTAAATGCGAGCACAGCCGAACGTACACAGTGGCTGGTCAACCGCTGCATCCCGCGTCTTTAGTGCGCAACCTAGGTGTGCTCTCAAGCTGCGACCTAAAATCCATTGACAACACGAATAGGCTGTACCAAAACAGCCTTCGTATGCTTTGGGCTCTCAGGCGCAGCTTCAGCACTTGGTCCGAAGAGATTGCTACTCGCCTCTTCGTCTCAATAACACGACCAATGATAGAATACAGCTCTCCCGCATATTGTCCCATCACGCTGGGTGAGGTAGAAAAGCTTGAGCGAGTGCAGCATATAGCCACCAGGCTGATTCCCAACTTACGAGGTATGCCATATGAAGAACGATGTAAGAAACTAGGGCTGTACACCCTAGCATATCGTCGGTTGAGGGTTGACCTAATCATGACGCACCGGATATTACATCTGAGTGATTACCCCATGTTGAGACAGCTGCTTCATCTGCGCACACAAAGCAGCATGCGAGGACACCGGTACAAAAATGTCGTACCGCAGTTGAAGCGGGTAGCTCACCAACTCTGTTTCGAACGTAGAGTAGTGAATACCTGGAACAACCTGCCGCAGCCGGTAATAGAGGCGAAATCAGTGGCCGAATTTAAGAAGCTTCTGGATAAACACTTTGTAGAGGCAAAATATAAAGAGCGGAACGATAATTAATAGGTTGATGTCCAAGAGCGAAAATTGATGCAGCTAAACAGAGCATGCTCGACTCGCTGCTTCTAATCAGTACAGTATCATCCTCATCCTCATCCACATCCACATCATCATCATCATCATCATCATCATCATCATCATCATCATCATCATCATCATCATCATCATCATCATCATCATCATCATCATCATCATCATCATCATCATCATCATCATCATCATCCATCATCATCATCATCATCATCATCATCATCATCATCATCATCATCATCATCATCATCATCATCGTCACCATCATCATCATCATCATCATCATCATCATCATCTTCATCATCATCTTCATCATCATAATCATCATCATCATCATCATCATCATCCTCATCATCATCATCATCATCATCATCATCATCATCATCATCATCATCGTCACCATCATCATCATCATCATCATCATCATCATCATCATCATCATCATCATCATCATCATCATCATCATCATCATCATCATCATCATCATCATCATCATCATCATCATCATCATCATCATCATCATCATCATCATCATCATCAGCATCATCTTCATCATCATCATCATCATCATCATCATCATCATCATCATCATCATCATCATCATCATCATCATCATCATCATCATCATCATCATTATCATCATCACCACCATCATCATCATCATCATCATCATTATTCTCCTCCTCCTCCTCCTCTTCCTCCTCCTTTTCGTCATCATCATCATCGTCACGATCATCATCAGCATCATCATCCTGGCCACCAGCTTCTTCTTCATCAACTGCAGTACAATAGTCATTTGGACTGACGCTTAGCTGCCATACATCCAAGAGGACCTATGAAATATAAAATAAGAAGAGGGGAGAAGCGGGACTTACCTGGAAACCAGATAACTCAGCATCAAACACACCAAACAGGCAATCCGATTACGTGACGACAGCAGACGCGCGACTGGTGTCCAT